AACTCTGTACTGATCCCAACCCAAATCATTATAGTCTCTTCCATACCGATCATGTTCGATTGTTTTGGGGATTCTGAAATCTCTACGCTAGACATGGGCACGACTTCTGCATGTGAAACCTTGACAGTATCTTGATTTATAAGTCGTAGGTACAGGAGCCCAGCCCTGGTCTGTCCACTGTATCGCCATGTGTTTCGAGGACTTGAGCACACGAACGCACGCACGCACACGCACACACAACCACATGTTTGACCCTTGCAAAAATACGGATACGTTTTAGTTGTGTATCAGCATATATATCTTGTCTTCTATGGAGATCGTTATTATGATAACATTACTGTGGTAATAAAGAATTAGTTCAAAATAAATAAATAAATAGTTATTCAAAAGAATTCGTTCTTGAAATATCTGGTGAGCTAAAATCGTATTTGCACAACCTAAGCACAAAGGTTTAATCTTGTCTGAGGCCTCTGTGTCTCGCAGTGATACAACCACGCAATATGGGCACACTGGCAATGTACGTCAATTATATATGGTGGTGTTGTCCTGTTTTCGGTTAACAGAAAGGGTAAGCATTTGATTTATGTTGAGAGTGTACATATTCCCCTCGCCTCTCGCCAAACGATCGTTGTTGACATCAGTGACAATGTCATATATTTCGTAAAAGACAGTGAAAAGTGTCATAAACCAATACCTTAATCTCGACATTAATTGCATGACCCTCCTGAATTCAAACTGGACGATTTCAGAAGAGTACACATACTCTACAAAAACGCAAAAATAAAATAATTGGAAATATCTGACGGAGTTTTGATGATATTCATGCGAAATGAATACTAAATATGAATTTCTCATGTCAACATGCTCGGGGGAGAATTGTGTGACAATGACTGGGGCTATATTTTGACAATTTATTATCATCTTTTCCTTTTTTTCAGGGTATATATCCTTACATATCCATAGTTCAGACTGACTGACTGACTGACTGAGTTTGGTTTTACGCAGCTTTTAGCAATATTCCAGCAACATCACGGCGGGGGACACCAGAAATGGGCTTCACACATTGTGCCAATGTGGGGATTCGAACCCGGGTCTTCGGCGTGACGAGCCAACGCTTTAACCATTAGGCTACCCCACCGCCCCTCCATATTTCAGACGTCTCCTTGAAAACATATTAGCCTCTCGAACAGACTTTATACAACTTTCTGCCTTAGTTTTGTGTGATAGTTATATTTCTGTGCCTGCATATTTATTCAATTTGTTATCGTCCCCAAATATTTGCCCTTTGTGCAATGGCCCAGACTTGGAACACTTCTTGATTTGCGGGTGGCCTCTGTATTGAGGTGTATTCTCCTTGGTTGAGGAGGTTGCTGTTTGCTTCTATCCAACGGCGCACTCAGCTATATTGAGTTACATTTCGGCGCCCTGTCGGTTATCGAAGCTGGACCAGACAATCCAGTGAGCAATATTGTGAGCAACGATTCACTCTGTAATGGACAATGACACACAATAAACCAAGTCACCGTCTTTGGCGACGTGATCCATTTCGCGGCCTCTAGAAATCGTCAAGTCCAAAGTGTAACTGGTATACTAAACACGGTGTACGTAATCACGGACATAATCTTGCGGACAGATCTAGGGTCGTCATCGTAGCAAATCACTAAAATCTGCGACATTATAGTCTGTTTGCAGTGAAAACGTACCGATGAATTTCACTTTAGACAGAAAAGTAAATCAAATAAAGTGAAATTAAGACTGCGAATCCTCATAAATTTGCCTTGTCAACTGAACATTTAAATCTCGAAATTTTATTCATTGTAGGACAAAAGTTGTTTAACAAACGATCACATTCAAATTTATTGGTTTGTATTACAAGGGGGTGAGCGCAGTAGATGGAACAGTGAAACAAATGCACGTGCGGTTCGTGATGAGCGTTAACTTAGACCAACTCTACTTGTTCTCGGTGTTTCATTTAATGTGCCTACACCCTTGTGATACAAACCAATAATAGCGATTTGAAACTATGATCGTTTGTTAAACAACTTTTATCCTAAGTTGAATAAAATTCTGAGATTTAAATCTTAATTCGCAATCTTAATTTCATCAGAGACCATATAATAGATTATATGGTCTCTGATTTCATCTTATTCGATTTACTTTATTGTTTAAATTGACATTCATGGGTACGTTTTCAATGCAAACAGATCATAGATAACGACTTTGTGGTTTGGAAAGGTGATCACCAGCAACCAACAACCATTCACACATTTCGTCCATGAGGAGAAACAACCTGTTTTATCCAGTGAACACTTTAACCACACCACAGCTGACAAAACATTGAAATCAATAAACCAGGCTGTGTACGCTATGCTGCATAGTTTATTCCAAATATATACAACAGGAATTTCCTGGCCACCAGCCACATTAGATGTCTTCACACAAAACACTTATAAATATCTGGCGAAGTCTCTGTCTGTGACTGGGACAGATCCACCAAGGACCCCATCTTGGTGTCAGCGAGAGCTCAATATCCAACATGGTCTCACAACTTAAATGGACTATGAGCCAGTAAAAACTGAAACCAAGTCATACTTCTCTGTGAACAATCATGGTTTGTTCTATGTACAGATGAAAGAACACATTCATTGACCTTATCTTGTCTGACTTGCTGTCTTATAATGTTCAGCTGTGTTGAGATGTTAACATTCATCACCAATACCTATTCATAATGTACAACTAAAATTAATTTAAAGAATACCTGTATTTCTCATAGTAAATGCATAATTTTACTGTAACCAATCAATCATAAAATGATTGACTACCATATACTCAATAGCTCTTCTATAAGATAAGGTTTAATAGCCCTTGCTGTTGAAATATGACTTGATTGTGTGTCTTTGGTTGTCGAAACGCTGCACTCAGCAATATTCCAGCTTTATGGCCACTGTCACTTGAAGGTGTATGAAGTAAAAAGATATACATGTTCAGAGATGCCAACCCTTACGCTTTAGGCGTAATTATTACGATTTTGACCAGTAAATTACGCCATTACACTTAATCTGCGAAAATTACACTTTTCTACTCGTTTTACGAAAATCAATAAAGTGGGAAAAATTTCACAAGGAAGTGTTTCGTAACGCACAGGTGCAGGGGTGCAGAAATGGCCTTGCATCGATAGGAATCGCTTACTCTTAGCAATGCACTCATTCCAAGGAACTTGCAAGGAATTAAAGTATTTTGAGTCACATGACCAACAATTTTCAATGTATGGAGCCTCATAATGATTGGTCACATGTGTTTCTGTCTATAATCTTCCTTTCGTGAAAACGTGTACCATGTTGAAGAGATCGACAAAGAAATATTACACTTTTTAGGTCAAAATTACACTTTTTGACCTCTAGTATTACACTTAGGCCCAAAATAGGGTTGGCATCTCTGCATGTTTGTACCATACTGAAATATGAAGTCAGGGATAATAAATGTGTAGGAATAATTGATCAAACTGAGCACTACTAATTCACTTCAAAAACGTAAATCCAACACATTCATGATCCCTAACTTGTTTTGTTCAGTATATACATCATGAGAACACATTTTCTACAAAATCACATGATGAGCGGACTCACTTGCAAACATGGACCAACAATCCACATATTCACAACACACTCCAGCCTGGGACTTGTAGAAATAACAAACAGAGACCTTTCAGACAAAACCCATGAACATTTGAATAATTGGAGTGAGTTAAAATTAAACGTCACCTCGGCAAAATTTCAGCCATATAGTGACTGAATAATTGGAAGCATATTTAGTAGTGTGTACACTTCATATTACACAGAGAGTGAGTGAGTGAGTTTAGTTCTATGCCGATTTTAGCAATATTCCAGCAATATGACAGCAGGGGACACCAGATGAGCGTGATGAGCGAACGCCTTAACCACTAGGCTACCCAACTTCCCCTATTACACAGAGAAATGGCTATGACTTTTCATGATTGTTTTGATTAAAGGTGTACTTATATTTGAGTTTGATTTTTCGTGAAACAAATATAATTCAAAGTGACCCTTTAATGATAATGCAACCAGTAAATCACTTTTTTTCTCCATGAATTAATCTTGGTAGTGCAGCTCCATATATATCTGTTCTCACAGCTGTGGGCGGTGGGGTACCTAGTGGTTAAAGCGTTCGATTGCCACACCGAAGACCAGGGTTCGATTCCCCGCATGGGTACTACGTGTGAAGCCCATTTCTGGTGTCCCCCGCTGTGATATTGCTAGAATATTACTAGAAGCGGCGTAAAACTAAACTCACTCACTCACTCACTCACTCACTCACAGCTACAGGCTACATCTTTACGATGTTTGAAGGCACTAATCCTCCACTGCAGTACTTATTCATTGTAATACTGAAAGTACACTGTAACACACGAGGTCATGGCATACTTGTGGTGAAACAGACAACCCATACCAAGACCATGATGAAATGAAGATCAATGCCACATTGATACAACAGCATCAGTCAACATCGAAGATCAATGTCACATTGATACAACAGCATAAGTCAACATCGCGAAAACAGACTGACACACATAACACAGTTTGGTTTGTGGACTGTGAAAGTCATAAATGCAACGATGAACATGAAAGATGAACTCTTAATATCAATTCCAACTGAGGAAAATGTTGCTACACATAAAATTAAATCATAACAAAAGGAACAAACATCCTCTGAATACACATTAAATCATTCCATGTGTCACATTGGCGAATCATTCAACTTATATTGTGCCTCAAGGTTCTCTGTGCCATGAAAAAGAAATTCATATCCATATACCGGTGCCCTATCAAAGCCAACATATTACAACTCAGGGGTGGAAATAACTTTAAGTTGCTAGTGTACTCCGGTACGGTGGCACATGTAAAATCATTTGCCCTGATAATTTTCCCGCTATACCGGCCGATTTTTTTGGTGATTTTTTTATATAAGCAACATAATTAACATTGGTATGTCAACCGGACACCGGTACAGCGTGATAAACAAATGTGCTTGCCCGACAGAAAAATACACTGGACTCGGACGTCGGGCAATGGGTTATTTCCACCCCTGCAACTCTGTGGTGAGCATGATTTAGTGTCATTAATCAAACATCCAGTTATAGCAACACAACCACCAGGAGATCATGAAATAGCAGACACTTAAAGGGGGTAAACTCACCCGAATCTCATATTCTGATTAAAAGAATGAAACTGATAGAACACAAACACCCCTCTGCATATGTCATTGTAATCAATGCCTTGTCTCTGAGCTAGGACTGCCATTTACATTAAGCAAAGGTCACCTTTAAATATTCTGAAATCTGCTGGGATTTCTTTGATTTTAAGAACCATGATGTAAAATGTGGTGTATTTTCTGCACTTTGCAATACCATGGTAACAACTGCAATTTTGCAAATTTTACCAGAATTTTGTTAATTTTTAAAATAATACACAACAAAGTCAATTCTGGGTACTGGTATTTTTCTTGACTAACATTGTAATGAAATACTAGAAAAAAATATTAGTCGACATTCAGCATGAAAAACAGACACTCAACCGTATCTTCCAGAAAAAATACTTGGCATGTTTGCTACCCTGTTCAACATACAGCTCCTGGACCGTTTCTTATCATTTATTACAGGGGATACGGATGATGTACAAATAATAGCATCCCTTCTTATTTGCCAAGACCAAATGTTTCCTTGTTATAAATATGAACTCCCTGAATCTGTTGCTACAACTTATATACTGCTAAAAAAAAAATGAGAACAACCCGATCCTTTGATATTACTACAGTAATCTGTCACCATGACAACAAGAGCCTCCAGGCAACACCGGGTAGTGGCAGAATGAAAGAATGGGGTTATATATGCAGCCAAACCAGCTACATACAGTATTATTGCTGGATAATGACATTTAAGTGTTCAGTTTTCTTTCGTTTTAACTTTCATATTTACTGTGGTAGCATGAAAGGATCTGGTGGTCCTTCTAGCAGTATCGTCACGATATGGCTGAGATATTGCCGATGTGACGTTAAATAATAACTCACTCACTCCCCTTCTAGCAGTAACATGTGATGCAAACTAACACTAACCCCCTGTCAAATTACATCCTGGGGGGAGTCACGATTTTAAAGGGTGTGTACTTACATATCATCACTGGTCTGACTAGTAACTGTCTCAGGTTAGAATAGTCTTTCTAAATTAACCTAAAACTACCCTGAAACACTTTAAATTGTTCTTATTCGCCTCCTAACTTTGGCACATTGACCTGCGTGTACAATGAAATGATTGGCCTTGGAGGTGATACGTCACTGTGAATCAGTGGCAAACTGTCAGTTTTAACCAGATAATCTTTCATCCACCAACATTCATTGCTACACAAGACGATTCAATGCATTATTCTGTCACCACCTTTAAAACATTTTAAAAAATTCCCCCAAACATACATTTTTTAGAATGTAGTATGGTTTATTTATTTTAAGTTTCGTTCTGTACATTTGATATTAAGCCAAATACACTTCCCAGTGTTCCTAGTGGTCACATGACTATCATAAGCTGAAGAGGTCTCCAGCTGATGGAAGGGGGGCGAGTCCCCCGGTGACGTCGGGCAAGAGGGTGAGATCAGGTAGGTTCTGCAGGTGAGACTTTAACTCCTGTCGTACCGTCGTCACTTTCGCAAGTTTGCCTCTATATTCCTGGAAAATGAAGAATAAAGAAACTGCATCAGCTATTTAATTGACAGGGGCGTAGCTACCATTATGAAAAAAAGCCCGGGCTTACACATGATTGCTGCTTTAAAGGTTGGGCAAGCCCTCAATACTATCGACCTTTCTGTATGGACTTATTGAAACAAATCATCAAAAATGCAAATTCAACTTATTAAGTTGAAAAATAACACGATGAAAAAAACCTGCGCGAAATCAGAGTTTAAACGATTCACTAATTTTCCCCCAGCGCTTGGGGGAAAAGTGGTTTCAACAGCTGGGCTGCGCTCATAGCACATACGCAGTGAAATAGGTTTGCGCAGCTTGGAAGTGGGTTGTCCGGTGAAGGCCTTGGTGTTAGCTAATTTTTTAATGTTCTGTTGATATTTCACAGGCGCGAGCTTTTTTATATGTTATGACAGTAGATTACCGATTTAACTGTTTATATAATTTCATTTGTCTATTTCACCACATGTTCTTCTTACCGAGTCACTTTCTCAGTTCGATACTTAAAAGCAATGTCATTATTTAGCGTTGACAGAATTTCTAACTGTGATATAGATATGTCATTGTCACAGACAAAACTCAATATCTGTTTTATTGACACCTATGTGTCTGCCTGCCTGTCTGCTAATGACAATATTCAATACACAACTTCGATCACTGACCACATGCAATTTGAACTTAACACCTATCAGGCTATACACCATAAACAAAAAGCATTGATTTATGGCCCGAGTTCGGTCTCAGTCACATTATCTAATTACACAGACAGGCAGGTGTGATACTTGTACACATGACATGTTATGATGTCTATTGATTGCAAAATGATATACACAAAAAATGAGCATGTATTTACAAAATCCAACACCTTTATGTATACACACACAATGAGCCGTGAGGGCATCTGCAAATGAACCAGCTGTTACACTTGAGGGCACACCCACCCGCTCTGACTGGGTTCGGTATACCGGCTGCTTCGTTTCTTGGGAAGTAAACCCAAGTACAAAATATTGCACTTTAGATTTGCGATTGTACGCTTATAATTTTATTTATACATAATCAGCAATGTATATTATATGTCATGAATAAGTGATAATTGTGTTTTAATTATGTTTGATTTTTTTGGTTGCATGTGACCTTTAAGCCTTATGACTCAACTTAGCACTAAGATGACCATAACTCCCGTACTTTCACACTGGCTTACAATAGTCAAAGTGTTATCATTACTCTCACTTCCCAAACTACTGACAGATATGCACATATATATAGATGCTGACATACCTTCCACATGACATAATAATGACATTTTATGGATAACAATTTCTATTTTACGATTTTAATGATTCGATACAGATTCTGTGCAATCTTCCATCACTGGTGTGATGAGTGTTTGTTTTGTTTGTTGCTTATTACTGCATTCAGCAGTATTCCAGCTATATGGCAGCGACTGTAAAAATTCGTGTATAGACCAGACAATCCAGTGATCAACAGCATCAGCATCAATCTACACAATTGGAATAAAACTATATGTGTGAACTATGTTGACGAGTCATACCACCTGATCCCGTTACTCGCCTCTTATGACAAGGATGGGTTGCCGGAGAACCATTCTAACCCGGATCTTCACGGTTTGGCGTGATGAGTAAATGCTTTCAGACTACTTCAGTGCCAAAACACAAATGAGGACATGTTACCGTCATCCTACTTTCCGCTTCAGTGAGGCATTCTCTCTGATGCTGTATAAAATCATGAAGCATCCGGGCAACCTTCTTCCTCTCCTCCAGCTCGGAGCAGAGTCGCTGGTTGTAGTCGGACAACAAAAAACACGCACTCTCAACCTGCTTCGACAGACGATCCGCTGATTCCTTATCTGTCAAACAGCAACAAGTATCAGTATCTGACGACAGTATATGTCAGCTGTGCTACTACCAAGTCAGATATAAAACACAGCAAAGTCAGACATAAAAACACAGCAAAGTCAGATATAAAACACAGCAAAGTCAGATATAGAACACAACAAAGTCAGATATAAAACACAGCAAAGTCAGATATAGAACACAACAAAGTCAGACATAAAACACAGCAAAGTCAGATATAGAACACAACAAAGTCAGATATAAAACACAGCAAAGTCAGGCATAAAAACAGCAAAGTCAGATATAGAACACAGCAAAGTCAGATATAGAACACAGCAAAGTCAGACATAAAAACACAGCAAAGTCAGATATAGAACACAACAAAGTCAGACATAAAACACAGCAAAGTCAGACATAAAAACACAGCAAAGTCAGATATAGAACACAACAAAGTCAGATATAGAACACAACAAAGTCAGATATATACTAGCCACATAAAGAAACTGTGCATGGTCAAAATATTATCCCAGTTGATAAGTACGATAACAATGTCAAAGGTACATATAAACTTCAATGGAGGGATCATGAGACCATAACAAGTCGGGAGAATTCCAATCACAATGACGTCACGAGTCCACGAGCGGGACAGGGGTCTAACGACCATGTAACAAGCTCAATAACGGGTATGTCTACCATCGGCATTGAGAACAGCAGTGCATCGACGACGCATAGAGCCTATCAAACGTGCAAGGAAGGCTTGTGGGATGTCACGCCAGATTCTCTTAAGTTCTGTTGCAAGGTCAAGGACATTATCTGGCGGATGAGGAAGACGGCGTAGACATCGATCCAGCTCGTCCCAAACATGCTCTATCGAGGAGAGATCCGGTGAATTTGCAGGCCAAGGCAGTAAGTCAACGTTGTGGTGTTGCAAGAAATCCATAGCAACCCTTGCCGTATGAGGCGGGCATTGTCCTGTTGGAATGTTAACCCAGGGCCATGACATTGCAGAAAAGGAATTGCCACAGGTCGAAGAATCTGATCCCTGTAGCCCACACCAGTTAAGTTGCCCTGAACAATCACCAAAGGAGTTCTTTGGCGTGCTGTTATTCCACCCCAAATCATCACGGAACCATCAACAAAGCGATTCCTCTCCAAGACACAGGCCTGTGCATAACGTTCTCCCACGCGTCTATAGGCACGTTGACGTCCATCACTATGGGAAATGTTAAACCTGGACTCTCCAAGACACAGGCCTGTGCATAACGTTCTCCTACGCGTCTATAGGCGCGTTGGCGTCCATCACTATAGGAAATGTTAAACCTGGACTCATCTGTAAAAACAACATTTCTCCACCAAAACAAAGGGTCTGGACATGATTTCGGCACCACATACGGCTAACATGTCGATGGCGTTGTGTCAGGATAGGCCGTATGGCGGGGCGTCGTGCAACAAAGTCAGACGAAACCTATGTGATAAAAATGACCAGGGAAGAATTTCAGATTTTTTCCCACCACCTGCACCGGGTGTAACCAAGTGAGTTAATCAGGTTGCACTATCAAGATATTGCCTGCACCATGTTATAAACAATCCTATCGCTGTCACTGAGCAAAAGCCTATTGTTTATGAGCAAAGGGAGAGAAATATTCATAACCCACGTCACTATCTCCAAAACACTCACATTACTCGGTGTCTGAAAGGGTGTTTTGACTGATTGATGTTTTTAAACTGACACTTTCATTCATAAATTTTACTTAAGCTTCATAATGAAATATAAACTGGTTTCCAAGTTATGCTCTTGAAACAAAATGGGAAGGCAGAGTGCTTTCCCCGTTCCACTTTTTGACCAGGAGAATATTCAAATGAAAATACCCAAAAGAAAACTACGTATGGATTAGGGGCCATCTAACTTCAGTGTTAGAGTGTGAAAAGAACCATGTTTACCTTGAATTTTGTCAAGGTGAGAAATGTCGGATACTTCCTGGGGCAAAGCTGCAATCTTCTCTCTAACAGCAGCGTCACTGGAAGCTGAACTCTCAAGGTCTGACAAACGTTTGATGAGATTATCAGCCTGAAACAGACACGAAAGTTAGGCATCATTAGGTGTCTGGCAGATTAAACAACAGAGTCTGAGTGAATGTTGTATTATATCGACAAGTCTTATGAGATGACTCATTAAATGAACCCACACACTCAGAGTACAGTGAGATAGGTCTGCCCTGTTATCTGATCCCAATTCAGAGTTGGTAGAGATTATCAGCCATCAAATTTCAGGCCTTTTTAGGGGCTTTTCAAGACCCAATCAACAACTTGATATCACAACATATAACACATAATTTGATAGGTCTAGCTAAATCTAGGCCTTTTAGGGCAGATAACTGGCAATTAGGGCTGTTCTAGGTCAAAAGGGAACTTAGAGCCATTTTAGGGTTAAATCTCCAAATTTCAGGCTTTTACAAATCTGTGCGAACTCTGCCATTTGTACTGACCCAAAACCCTGAATGGGTAGCCCATTGAGGTCAGCAGCAAATTACATCGGACAACAACACAGGCACCCATCACAACCTCAGTATAGACTGAGCTGTAGGTTTCTGTTTGCTACGAACGTTTCCCTTTCAAAGTGTGACCAAAATCGTAACAATTTCTGCATTTCGTATGGATGTCAAAATCCATCATTTTATATCTGCTGCATCGCTTCAAGATTTAGCATTACGTTAAGCTGTCGTGCCAAGAAGTGACATAGAGTTAAGACAGGGTTAAATCCAGCCAACTCACACGTACTTCAGGAGGAATGGGGAGTGGCTCCATGGCTTCTACTTCCTCCCGGAGAGACAGGAAGTTCTGTTCATGCTTCTTCTTCTTGACCGTCTGCTGCACTGGTTCCGGCTGGACCACAGTAGGGGTGCCTTCAAACATTTAAATACATGCACATATATAGTCATGTATATTTTACATTCTCATCTTCGTCAACAACACCACAAAGCACACCATGTCACTCTCTCCAAATACCTTTCATTGTACTGCTTCATGAAATACACCATAGTCTTACCAAACAATTATGCATTGAGTGAATAACAAGCATTGCAAAATTGCACAGAGTGAGTGAGTGAGTTTTTACACTGATCTAAGAAGTATTCCAGTAAGTCGGGATGTGTCTGCTTTGATGAGTGGGTTCTCTTCTTGAATAGCTTGTTAACAATACTATATAGACACCAGCATCATGTTTTGAAAACATCTGGATGAAAATTCAGGAAAGCAATGTATTGGGTTCTAAGGATTCCAAGAGAAGGGTTCTAAGGATTCTTATGGTTTGCAGAAATGCGGTTTCATTCTGAGAATCTGCTTCTGTTTCAAACTTGTATCTCATGTTAAGACAAAGATCCTTTGGCGTTCAAGCCAACTTTTAAGATATACACCTAAGGGAGGCAACTCTTCACATTGAACTATCTCAGGCAGCTTGGCCACCCTGAGACATTTATGAGCTGCTTGTCAAAACTATAAATATTGTGTGTGAAATACTCATCGTGTCAGAAAATCTTCAAATAATTATCATCAACATTTCATAAAAAATTACATCTCTTACTTGTTAACTGCTGTTTCATAGACCTGATGAAATCCTTAACATAAACACCCCTCTCCTGCCAAATGTTCAACACACGTTCCAATGATCTCTTTGTCTTGTCATCAGCATCTCTGAAAAGAAATGAAGCCATGATGTTATTTGTTCTCCACTGTATTCAGTAGGTTCAATGTGCTGTATGGCAGGTTACCCCTATGTATTCTAGAACATCTACACAGCTGGATCAGCAGTCTCACAGTCTCCATTGTAAAGATACAGTGAAACCCTTGATGACAGGAAACCCTGTATTCTTGACAATGTCCATGACCAAAGACCAATTTAACAAGCAGTTGTCACTAAGGTGCATAATCTCCTGTCGCAAATTATCAAATCAAACTTAAAGAGTAATGAAAGTGAAGGTCGTAGTTTAAGATGAAGTTAAATGTCAACAAAAACATGACCAGTCAACCTCTCTTGATATCTTGCTCTGCTCTGTAGCTGTTCAAACATACAAATATTTTCAAGACTCACTTTGACCTTGACATGGTGTATGAAATATGCAATGAATAGTAATAGAGAAATTGCTTATTGAAAAACATTCAAGAGAAGTCTTGAAAATCTATGAAGAAAATCCAGTGAACCATTCTTGAGATATCTTGCTGACAATCTTAACATACTGAAATCTTCAAAGTGTTGCTATGACCGTGTGAAGGTCACCAAACTCGACTGGGCCCTGCGCCTTCCCTATATGAAGCTTGGTGTCAAACATGAAGAAAATCCAGTGAATGGTTCTTGAGATGTCTCGCTGACAAGCTTAACATGCAGGCTAACATGCTGAAATCTTCAAAGTGTCGTCGTGACCTTGAAAATTATGGAAAGGTCACCAAAATTGACTGGGCCCTTCACCTTCCCTATATGAAGCTTGGTGTCATATATGAAAAAAATCCAGTGAACAGTTCTTGGGATATCTCGCTGACAAGGGTAAAACGTTAAAGTCCCCTGGTGACCTTGAAATGAAGTCAAGGTCACCAAACCTGACTGGGACCTTTCTGATACTGTGATGAACCAAGGTACCAAGTATGAAAAGAATCCAGTCAATGGTTCTTAAGATATTCCAATTCGTATGGACGGACGTACATACATAGGGATGGCCGAACGGAGACTAATACTATACTCAGCAGCAAAAAACCTGTCAGTACGAATTCAAAATTAGATAGGCACTGTAATCAAGTCATTACAGAAATGGACATAATAAGCGGATCCCAAAACATTTTTTGTGTACAATATCTTGACACATCAATGAATAACTCAGCATAATTTCAAGACGTTATGTGAACGTTTGCAGTCCATTCAGACCCTTGACTTCAGTATCTAGTGTGACCACCATGAGCGGCAACAACTGCAGCACAGCGTCTATACATGGAGTGCACCAATCGATTGATGAAGGCCATTGGCACCTGGAACCACACTCTGAGAAAGGCCTGGCGCAATAAATCGGTTGCGTTCGGCCTTTGTATGACATTATTTAGTCTTCTCTGAATTTCATCCCAAAGATGTTCAGTTGGGATTAAATCAGGACTGAGGGCTGGCCACTGCATAATGTTGACGCCGTTCTGCTGTAGGAAGTCCTGTGCAGCTCTGGCAGTATGGGCCCGGGTGTCATCATGCTGGAAAATGTTGTTCCCGGTGACGTGCAAAATGTGGTATGTGGTATAACATGGGGTCTGTGAGCTTGGTCGATATAGCACACTGCTGCGATGCTACCTCCTCTCCCTGGACCAAGGTTCTGGAACTCCACAGGACCCACTCTCTGGTTCAGGCCTATTCCACCCCATACCATGATGCTTGCACCTCCCCATGAGTCTCTTTCCATAACACATTGGTCTGAGTAATGCTGGCCACGTCGTCTCCATATTCTTGTTCTGCCATCTGCATTGGTACGCAGTACCGACTCTCATCTGTGAACAGAACAGTTCTCCATTGCCTGTATCGCCAGTTTTGGTGTCGTAGGGCAAACTGTAGACATTCATGCCGATGACGAGGGGTGAGGATGGTTCCACGGTAAGGTCTACAGCAATGGAGGTTCCCACTGTTAAGACGTCGGCGTACTGTATCAGTACTGATTGGTCTTCCGTGTGTTCCTACTGTCTGGCATGCTGTTTCGGATGCCTGCATGAAGGGATTCTGTACATGCTGTCACACAACATGGCGATCTTGTCGTCTTGTGGTCACCCTTGGTCTGCCAGTACGGGGGCGATCATGTGTGGTGTTGGTGGCCCAGAGACGTTGCTGCAGCCTGTATATGGTCCGAACGTTGACCTGGAAGTGATTGGCAACGGCTCGTGTGGTGTGGCCAGCTTCAAATCTTCCTAGCGCCTGGTTCCTCTGAGCTGTCGTGAGTCGCGGCATCCTGCTGACGTTGTAATGTGAATGTTTCCACCAGGTTTGGGGGTCCATTTTATAGGGTGGTCCTTGTGAACAGCACATGCAGCATGAGTTGCATGAAAAACATGGAGAACACCGAACCATCTCCGAGATCAGGTTGCGTTTTTGAGACCATTTCCTGGGTTCCATTCTGAGTTTGGGAAGGAATGTCTTTGCTCAGGTAAAGTTGGAGATGTTGTCAAAAGTATACAATCAAAACATTACATGAGTTTACAGTTATCCGTTTCTGCGAAGGAAAATTCCAAACAGACGTTACTTTTGCTGTTTAGTATATATCCCCCGCTTCTAGCTTAACGCGCGGAAGGAGATAATAATATAAACAGGTAATACCATATTCGACATGGTAAGCACCCTGGGTGCTAAACAAATTGAAAAAAAGAGAGGGTACATTGACGAATACAGGAAATTCGTTAATGAATAAAGGAAATACCTACTTTGATGCAATTCTGACAGCATCAGGTAAGACTGTGGCAAAGTCTTTGGTGAATTCTGGGCCCTTCTTTTTACTGTTCTGGATGACATCATTGGCCAAGTAGAAGAACGTCAACTTTTTGCTGGACTTTCCTGTGGAACACATCGTGTGTCAGACATTATACACATCTAATGCATGTCACACATGTAAGACATATTTTAAGTTGTTCACTGGTCTCAAGGGGGACATGGGTTGATGTACCCTCAATGTTTGTTTATGTTCCCTGAACCCAAAGGGCGAGGGGAACATAAAGAAACATCGAGGGTACATCAACCCATGGGCCCCGAGGGACCAGTGAACAACGTATTTATCTTACCGAACACTTCAATGGTAATTTTGAACTGTTTGAAGCACGGGTATCGGATCATAGTATGGAGTACCAGACGACAAGACGACAAGAAAAACAAATTTAGTGTTATCTCCCTTCCATCGATTTGCATTCGTAAAACATTGGTAATTTCCATACATCATACGTGATTCAATGTTATTCAAGATAAAGACTTACTACTACGAAGTACCAAATGAGTTCGGCATTCCCAGCGGGGTACATAGAAAATGTTACTTGCTTGTAAGTGGGGTACATTGAAAATAATAGAAAAGCCCTCAGCCAATCAGAAAACGTCATTTATGTGTGGGGCAAGATAAAATATTTTGTTCCTGGTTTTTCTGGTTTCTGTGAGTGAAAAGAATGAAGAAATGAGTGAGTTCAGTGTGTTAGAATTATACCACTTTGGAGAGCATTCTAATTTCCAGTAATATCTGGGGACACCAGAAATGGGCTTCACACATTGTACAGATATGGGGAATCAAAGTCATCGTAAATAGACCATGATACATGTATGACCCCACTGCCCCTCTGATTTTTGTGAAAATAGATTCAAGTTGGAAGGTTGTGAAAAAGGTTAAAAACAAACATTACAGATTATTGGTTCTGAAGCACCTTAAAAGGGTCATCTGAATACATGTATGTTGAGTTTGTCTCTTTGCTCTAGTGCATTCTACTGTCTTGCTGGAAAGACTATCATTGTGATTCTGTGTCCACATTTTGTTGTAAATATCATAGCGTGCATTCAGTGTGATAATCAAGTGATTTTCTGTTTAATTTTACCCAGTTTTTTTGCATCATGGGGTCATCAGAATCTAGAGACATGTATGCACCTGACATTTGCACTGCAATTTATTGCAACAAAAAAACCTCATTCTTGTATTGCAACAACATAACAATATTTTGAATATGTTCTTTCATCTCTAATTGTTACCAACATGAATCAAAACACCCTAATGAATTGAAATGGTTTTTTTTTCCAATTTTGCACTGAAAGTTGACAGTCTCCTGACAGACAGTTAACAATAAAATGCAAGATTTGTCATTTTCAAAAACCTTTGCTGACAAGATAAAATATGCATGATTTTGAAAAGCTAACTATACAGGCAATTCCAAATGTCTTGTGATACATATTTATTAGTACTTGAAATCATGGTACATTTGGTTACCATTACCAATAGTGCTGTATGATTCTGTTCTGCTGTGAACCAAATTTAGAAACCAGTCAATGCTGATTACAGGATGGGAAGCAAGGCTTTCTGATCAGAAGGTAAACACTTAGCTGATATTACAAAAGTGGTTAATTAATGTCCCTTGGTCATTGCAATTCATCAAAGAGAGCTTCACTTTGATTTATGTCGCAAATGAAGATCAGGATGATCATGTGACAAGCATATCCAAATTAATTTTGAGAAGTTTTGTTTGTAGTTTAAAGCCACACTCAGCAATATTCCAGCTATATGGTGGTGGTCTGTAAATAATTGAGTCTGGACTATACAGTCCAGTGATTAATATCATGACCATCGATCTACACAATTGGGATACAATGACATGTGTCAACCAAGTCAGCAAGCCTGACCACCCGATCCTGTACCTCTTACGGCAAGCATGAGTTGCTATAGACCAATTCTAACCCAGATCTTTACAAGTCATTTCAGAAGTAACCAATGTCATATTTTCTTTCAGAAAGTCCAAATTCTAGTTTGATCCAAGGTTTGAACATTGTTAAAAAAATACTTAATAGCTCAGTGTTTCAGCTGACTTAATTATTTATCTAAACACTGTGTCTGGCGACCTAACATTTTACCAGTCATGAATGAAATTTGCCAGTCATATCCTATTACCACACTGTAAGTACTCATTTTACAGTTGACCGCCTCCGTGGTGTAGTGGTTAGAGCGTCTGCCGGAGCGGAAGGTCGCGGTTTTCGATCCCTGACCGCGTCATACCAAAAGACGTTAAAATATGGTACTTGTTGGTCCCTGCCTGGCGTTCGGCATTAATGGGTACAACAAGGACTGGTTGGCTCGGAGTCAGTATAATGTGTCTGAGTGGGGTATTCATGCTTCACTGCGGCATGGTATCTCAGTGGGCTAGCACTATAAAACCAGCTTAAGTCTGGGCTAGTACAAGCAGCCGCACATACACACGCATGCACATCGTCATACGAGTGAAATATTCTCAAGCACGACGTTAAACCCAATTTCACCTCACCTCACCTCATTTTACAGTTATTTTTAGCCTGGGCATTTCCGGAACTTAACAATTTTTGCAACCATGAAAGCACAGCCAAGACTGTCATTTCGCTTACCCATGATTTTTTTATTTTAATACATGATTATTTACCGGACACAGTGTCCGGCTGGCTTTCAATTTACCGGTCCCCAACAAATTTTACTGGCGATTTTCAGGTATGTACGGGAGAACGGAAACACTGTAGCTTTTTGTCATGTGTGCTAAAAAGTAACACATGCTATATTTTTTGCTAACACTTCTCAGAAAATGTCTTGAGTCTTCCACAACTTTTCATGAATAATCACTGTAACTGGTTCTGATTATTGATCAGTTGGTATATTTCAACATACTGACGTAGATACAATTGGAGAAGGAAATTTTGCAATGTTTGAATACAGATACACATGCAACCTTGAAATATATTATAGCCAGTATATGTTGATTTTCATGCATATCATAGTGTGGAGCCAGGGAATGTTAAAGCATGAATGGGGGCGGTGGGGTAGCATAGTGGTTAAAGCGTTGGCTCGTCACGCCGAAGACCCAGGTTCGATTCTCCACATGGGCACAATGTGTTAAGCCCATTTCTGGTGTCCCCCGCCGTGATATTGCTGGAATATTGCTAAAAGCGGTGTAAAACTTAACTCAGTCAGTCAGTCAGTCAGTCAGTAAAGCATGAATGTTCAGAAAGAAATAAGAGTGAGTGAGTGAGTTTAGTTTTACGCCGCTTATAGCTGTATTCCAGCAATATCATGACGGGGACTCGAACCTAGATCTTCGGCGTGATGAGCAAACACTTTAATCACTAGGGTCCCCACAGCGCCCCCCACCCCCAGCCCCACCCAAAGAAATTAGAAAGCAAGTCAGTTCTTACCATGTTTACATCAACTTCAACATGTTAAAAACACCAGACACTCAGACACTCTGTGCCAATTTTCACTATTGGTCAGGCATGTCAGTCATTGCAATCGACATCCTGGGTCTAATATGTATTCTTAGATAATACATTATGAACTAGAAAACGTAAATAGTTAAATTGTGAAGCAAACAAATTATATATTTTTTCTGCATCTTACGAAGTCCCTCTTTTCATAAAAAAAGAAAGAAAAATACGCTTAAAACAGCCATATTTATTAGCTAAATTGTTAATGACATGCACGGAAAACAATATCCATAACACAAAACATGGTTATCGCACTGCTTGAGAATGAGAACAGTTGAAATGATGATTAGGTATTTCAATATTTTCTGTTCTTGATGACAAATATTGTGCACGGTTTTGCTTTCAGGCAGTAATGAAAAGGTAACTGCTATATTCCAAATGCATATCTCACCTTTAGCAATCTCTCGGTGCCACACTTGTACAATAGTTCTAGAGTGTTTACGATGATGGATCAGCCATAAAGACAGCGTCTGGATGCTCTGTTGTGTGTTGTTCAGTTCAAAAAGCTTTTTAGAGAAGTTAGAATCCGAAAAAGACGACATGCTGTTTAGTGGATGGGTATTCTAATGCAATAAAGGCTCCCTGAAACGGAAGTTGATTGGGCGATTCCAAAACATAAACATAAGGACGAGGACAATACACTGGATTTACGATAAATTCAATACGTATGAGATTGTGCCTGATTCAATGATTACATATGATATTTTTGCAATATTACATGCTTGGCATAAATAATCATTCGTGTAAACATTTTCTAAAGTTATCATTGGTAAAGAGAATCGCATCAACCACCCCTAAACTGACACGGAAGAAAAGAAGAATTGGCCAGACATGCGCCGTTACACTTCCGTGAAATATAGCATGCATGAGCTTTATGTGAGGAAAAAGCGCACATACAGGATTACTTCTCTTTGATAATCATGCCGTACGCCAACCAGCCAACAGTGTCAATCACTCAACTCACCGATGAAAACATAAAGTTTATTCTCGAAGACACCGATTTAAGGTGATCAATCTAGAAATGATTTCTTACACAATTGTTAGATCAACGTAGTGTGAGATATCTCCGTACACACATCAATATCGTAGTAGAAGAATTAAAGGAACTTATAGGCCAAAAGACAAGAGCCAGTTGACAAACTTCTAATAATATACTAGTTTGGATGTTTGAAAAATATGGCTTCAACAAACCTGACAATACATTTTATGCCGTTTGTCTTTCATCACTCTTGGCTCATTCGTTAAAATAATGTTTAGATTCTTTGTAGCGGGTTTTGCTGACTTGGTCAGATTTAGTGAAGAATGTTTGCTTCAAGTTGTTGTTTTCATGGTACAAGCATACCCAGAGTGACTACTTACCAACTTTTGAATCCAATAAAATTTTGATTTGGGCTGATTAACTCTGCTTATATTAGTCCATGTATACTACACATCAGAAGTTTAGAGTCACTTAAAGCCCTCACAATATATATATATATATATATATGGTGACATCGAAGATGAATTTCTCCACTAACTTGGGGGAACCACCTGCAAACCTTAGGCAGATGAATTCCACGAGGATCATGCATCAAATTGCTGAAAAGCATGTGCAAATATTGTGCATGTGAACAGCTGCGTTTTGGTGTAAAGTTTTGTTAAGAATTCGCCAATTTTCACTGATTTTAATCATTTATTGAACTCTTGACAATAATCTTTTCAGCGTTACAAATTTGTTTTATAAAATATCAGTTCATGTGGAAACAGTACCTTTAAATAGTATGGAATATTTTGAAAAATCTAGTTTAGAACAGTTGACTGAAGTAAGTGGCTACATTTACTCTAGTGAGTCTATACATTTGATTGGTAGTTTATGTTAACAACAATCCACCGAAATCAATGTCAAACAACTATTTGATGATATCAGACTCCATAGTTTTTAGCAGAGATGTTGAAATATGCATAGCTTACATACCAAATGAAATTATAGCAAACTCGTAATGTCTAGCTTCTGGCTGTAGTAATTAATTAGTTGCAGGCTGCACACCCAACTGAAAGAAAGAAAACAAAATATAATTATTTCAGTAAAACTTTACAACTAATTGTACAGTAACATATTCATCTGTTCACAGTGTCGCCAATAGTTTAAGAAGAGTGTGTATTGCAGAGGTACCCACCATAGGTCAGTATGTGTTTTCTTTTGTAAATGTTGTTATTACCCAATGTTTACATGCCACTTTGTTTTGGATTGTTTTCAAATTTGGGGACCACCTTCTTTGTCTAAATGAGAAGTGCAATGCAGTTTTTTATTATGATATTAAACTTTTCAAGGGATTTTGGCATTTAAGAAAAATTAAACCTGAACTAACTAAGGGGAATATTTGTTGAACCTGTAACATGAATACATGTAAATGGATTTTTTATATTTTGATATTGTTAATTTATCAAGAATTACCTTGAATTCGAGGAAAAGTCCATCAAATTTGCTCCATCAGTATCTTTACCTCATTTAATGGATGTTCAGATTTGGGTAATGGCCTGTTTATTTATAGGAAAGGTTGAGTGCAAAGTTTGATACAATTCTTGTATTTCAGCTGAATTTGGGAGTCACAGTCAGGGTATCAGTGAGGCTTGCTCTCATTTTATAGCTTGTCTTCTACTGTACCTGTAAATAATATCTCATCATTGATCATTCTGTACATAACATTGGTTTGATGTTGCTGTTTTTAGCCATTGACTGGGTCCAGATGGAAGCCAACTCCACAGTTCTGTTCGACATGAGTTTATTTCACACGCCGACAAGTTACAGTTGGGCTGATTCCCTCACCAGCGAGTTTATTTCACATGATGGGCTGATTCCCCTCACCACAAGTTACAGTACTGCAGGGTAAGCATGTGTAATGATGTCACGCTGAACATGAAGTGTTTTGTCTTGAGGTCATGGTATGTTATCTACAACCAAAACAGACCGTATTTATGAAGAAAATCACACACAAAACATCTTGGTATTGCAAGATAAGTATTGTAGGTGGCTTCAACTTCAATAATAGGCCATTTATATATCGCCTTTCCACGTCACAGGGATATGCTCAAAGCACTTCCTGAGCTCAAGTTAAAACTATATACAGCTGGCTGGTACGGATGATTGGAAGTCACTTGTAGCGGAGAAAGAGATGAGTCTTTAGTCGTGTTTTGAATGTACTTAGGGAAGGAGATGACTTTAACTCGGTAGGGAGAGACAATCTGTATTTGTGGTCTGTTAACCTTAAGGCTTTGAAGTGGTTCCTTTTCTAGGTCAAGGACACTGACTGATTGTCAAATGCCTCCAAGTGTTTTCAATGAAATTTGAACTGACAGCTGGTAATTTTGTTAAGGATTGTAATATACAGAATAGAGATAAGTACTAATTTAAGTTATGGTTTTGTTAGCAGCATGCTCACAGGTTTCACCTAAGTAAGACAGATAGTTTGCTGTACAGAGTTGCCTCCCCTATGGTGTGCTTGAGCCTGAGACCATAGGATTCATTTATTACTTGTTTGAGTGGCATTTTTAGAAGTTGAGACGTACAATATGGAACACGTTTTTATGGATAACAACTTCTTTATTTCGTGAGTGCGATTTATTGTCTATAATTGATCCAAGCTCTAGGGATTGACATAGTTAAAACATCTGAGACCTGCATTACTCTAACTTTCCTTGCACATCAAGCTGACACTGGGTGATGTAACTGGAATATTGTTCAAAGAGGAGTAAAATGCAATCGTGCCCACTCCGTACTGTCATCTTCTGTCGGATACATGTTTCAGGACTGTACCTGTGAGGAGTTCTGTCCGGAGTGTGCTGTAGAGTTCCAGCTGGAAGTAAAATGTCTCGATGACCAGACTCGCCATGTCACCAGTGCAGACCTTCACTCCTCAAACAACAAAGTTGTTCCTGTAAGTTGGTTTCTTTGTAAATTAAGATAATTGTCTGCATCTTCTGATGAACAAAATGCTATTATACCATGTAAATCTCTATCAGGTATTGTCTAGTGTTGGGAATTGGTTAAAGTATCATAATTGATGATTGGTTCATTACAACCGATCAATCATCAAAAATAATTGGTTAGCGTCATTTATCAAATTTTCCTGGTTATGTTTGTTAATGCACAAAAAATAAAGCAGAAACATGTAGTTCTTTCAGGGTTTTTTTTCAAATTGAACAAAATGCATTTGCAAATTTCACACCTTTAAAGGATGACTAGTATGTTAGGAACATACATTTCCTGGAGTTAAGATAATTTCAGACATGACAAGGAACGAGCTTGTCATACTTATGAAATGTAACAGACAAAAAACAACCTTGTGAAAAATATCGTTAATGAAAACAAGTGTTCCAAAATTGTTCGTGTTTGATTATGAGAAAACATGATTGATTGCTTGGTCGTTTAGACATTGCAACCAATCTTCGATTATTTCAATTAAGCAGACCACCACTAGTATTGTCCTTGCCTCCCTGTGTTGTGAAGATCTGTGTTAGAATTTGTTTTGTGGAACGCAAGCATGCACGCACACGTTGCATGATACATTTTAGACAACATGAACATCCTCTTGTTGTCCCCCGCCCCAACACCTATGTACGTCTGTACGTGGGGCTGCGTGGGGCGGCGGGGTAACTTAATGGTTAAAGCGTCTACTCATCACGCTGAAGGCTGTTGTTCCAATATCTTCAAATTTGGTGACAGCCAACATTTGGGGATTACCCAGACACCTGTTGATTTGGGTGACCTTGACCGTATTTTCAAGGTCCCCGCGGCACTGACAAATTTTCAAACTCTTGTTACCATGATATCTCATGCATTGTTGTACCAAGTGTCTTAATATTTGGTGACAACCGACATTGGGGAATTCTGCAGACACAAGTCGATTTGGGTGACCTTGACCGTATCCTCATTTGCCGTCTCGCGTTCGATTGGACGGTCATAGGTCGCTCAAAGCTTAGCTGACTCGACCTTCTATTAGGTTTTGTTAGACTCAGTATAGCAGTGTAACGACTAATACTAAGCCTAAGTTTACTTAGACTGCAATTATGTCAACAGCCTACATTAGGTGATTACGCAGACACCAGTCATTTCAGGATGACCTTGACATTTTTTGCAGCAGGGGACAATGACTTGTTAGTAGCAAACACTTGTTCGCATTGGTTTGATCGGAAAAATAAATAGCAAACAGTTTTTGTAACGAAAAGAATAATTTATTCTTGCAACAAAATGTAAATGTACTGCAACAGTTGTGTATGAAGTAAAATGTAAAGAGCACAGATAGGTATGGGTTTAAAATCGCTTAAAATATCTAAGCAACAGTTAAGTTAGGAAGAATCTGATACAAATAAAATCAGTGAATTGGAAATATGTTGTAAACTGACTTAAAATATATACTCATGGAAACGAATAAGGTAACACATGAAAGTACAAGTGTTCCTTTATTCTTTTCCAGGTTTCTTCACAAGGTATGTATTGCACTGTGGGTAAAATTCTGGGAATGAATAAAGGAACACTTGTACTTTCATGTGTTCCTTTATTTGTTTCCATGAGTATAATTTGAAAAAGCATGATCATGATAAAATTGATCTCAATGTAAATGTTGATAAAAAAAGACTAAACAATAACAATTATCAAAAACTTATATGATTTAACATGCAGAACCTGTCTATGTATACTGTAGTATACATAGTTAGAAATCGTAAATCGAGTTTGAGTAGCGTAGTTCAGTATCCATATTGACGACCTCCGTAGCTGATGATAACATTATCCTACTCGTGACTCGGCCCTGTTGAGAATATCCCTGATGGTGGGCCTGCTGGATGGATCAACCACAAGGCACGTCCACACCAGGTCCATGAGAGCCTGTCCCCCCATCAGATTGTCGGGGGGTAGTTCCCCCTGGATGATCTTCATGTACACAGCAAATGGGTTGGTGCCATCAGAATCAAAGTAGGCTGGCTCAAGGGCAAGCATTTCGTAAACGACGCAGCCAAGAGACCAGACAAATGCTTGTTCGTCAGGATTGTTCCGTGTGAGAATCTCAGGGGCTTCATAGACTGGTAATGGTGTGCCCATGTTGAGGGCAGTGATATCCTGTTCATCAGGCTGGCTTTCAGTTAGGTCGAAAAAGATCCTGCCATCACTTGTGAAATTGATGACGGCTGTGCTTAGCTTGCCAGAGAATCCTGAAGCATTGACGAGGACCCAGCGACAGAACTCACACACAACCTTCCATGCCACTTCGTCACTGATGCGAGTGCCGTTTTGCTTGCAGGCCTCTATGATGTCTTGCAGAGTTTCCGTTTTCTGGTAGATGCAACACTGGTATTCCCCTTCTTCAAATGAGGCAAGGAAACTTGGATGGCTGGTGTTTATCTGAGATCCTTGAAGGAGAACAGTCGGTTAAGCAAGAATAAGTAGTGGTGAAACAACAACAGCTATTATCACACTTTGCTAAGGATCAAATCATGGATTAAACAGAAAGGTATTATGTGGGGTCAAAGGTTTAAATACCTAACCTTATTGTAAGCATGGATCCCAGGTTTCAGTATGTCATTGCATCTTGTGGATCCCATACCTGCTATTGACATGTACTGTTTATTTGTCAATGACTCGTTCCATGATTTGCAAAATGGTTGATTGGTGCAATGAAACTATTTTTATGGTTACTCAAGTATCAGGGGCATAAGGTTTGCTTAAAGTGACTGTTGGCCTAATGAGGGGTTACTATATTATTATTTATCCAGTTTTAAATGGATACAATTTCAAATTATAAATCTACATTTAAGTAAAGTTGTGAATTTTTGTGATCCTTAGCAAAATGTGAGTAGTATATTTACTGATAAAACAGACATAGTGATACAACAAAAATGGTTACCATGGTTATTATAAGGTAAACTAGAATAGTTGTAATTGATGATAAAATGTTTTATCATAAGGAGTTCAATAATGGAATTGGCTTTCATCCATACCTCTCATAATGAACCAGAATTTTATAATTGTGATGAAGGTAAAATGGTTATCATTAGCAATACAATTGTAATATGTTGTAATCAGTGATAAAATACAAATGGCTGTCGCCGTTAATAAAACTAGTTTTATCAGATTAGAGAGACAATGGAAATGAGTATTTTGTTATAAACAAAATGGCACAGTATAACTTGACACATGAACATGTCACTTGGCTTCACTGTGAAGCAGTGTAGATTTTGCTTGTTACCTGACGGCTGAATCTTGAGGATGACTTTACTGTTATCAAACAGACATGTAGCAGGGTATGTTCTGTTCAGGTGGTTGGAACCATTCAGGCTGGCCGGGTCAATCAGGAAATCACTCAGTCCGATCTTACTGATGTTGCTGGCAATTTTACTTGGCACAGGCAGTGTCAGCATCTAGGTGAAAATTAGTTTGTCAAAATACTTGTCGTCTGATGGTTCGTATGTATATCTGATCATTAACTAGTTTACATTTGTGGGTTTTAGAAAAACAGAAGAACTTTCTTGTTTAGTAGGTTTTCTGAGCTGAGATTAAACTATAATGGGATGACCTATGATACATGAATAACAGAATTTATTGTGGATGTCAATAATCTCATAAACGACCCTATGAAAACTGAATAATAGCAATTATTATGGATGTCAATAAGCACGACAAAACTGATGAAGCTTAGTAGAATTAACAACTGCAGTTTTCATGTTGAAAGTTCCAGTTGACTCTTAGTAAGTACTGTAGGTTGTGTAAGATAAATATGCTCTCTTTTGATCAAGTAATAGATATCGTTCTTTGCTTCTAGATAATTATAGGAGATACTCTTGACAAATATTAGGTAGGCAAACAGTGTTGTAATGTGAAGGCAATAACACTGAGACAGTTATGAATTTGATACATCCATTAGAAGTCATCCTTAATTATCCAGGATGATATATCTCCATTCTGTTATGAAAAAAATACCCTGAAGCTATTCACCACCATTCAAGTGAGGCAGAACTGACATCGCCACATGTTGAGACAGATTTTTTTGTAACTCGACACCTGTCAGATCAATCTCAAAACAAACCAGTAGTGGCAAATGGCTCTGGGATTTATTATTAACAAACAGAGATATTTTACACTGGGAAATCAAGGATGAGGGCAAGCATATTTGTATGGAAAGAGGATCAACTTGGATACAACTAAACAGGAGTATGTAATGTATTGATAAGTTTTTTCCTGTTTGAGAGTGAATAAAGACATGTGTTACCTGATCGACTCGCTTGAGGGTGACGGACTGTAGGATGGTGTTCCTGCACCAGTGGTTGAGGGACGGAGCACATTGGTTGCTGTGGAGTTGGATCACAGTCTGGGTGATTGGGTTGAAAGAGTGGCGCATAGTGCTGCAACAGAATCAGTCATGGTTGTGAACTATGTGATGGCATGGTTGGTTGAGGTGTAGTAGTTTGCTGTACAGAGTTGCATCCCTTAGGTGTGCCAGAGCTCTGTGATTGTGGGTTTGACTGATGTATTATCAGTGTATGAAACATGGCCCGTCCGACCGCCCAAGACGGTCTACATATCTGACGGACGGTCTAAATTTACAGCTAGCCAGCCCGATTGTCTGGTAAAAATTGTAGAATTTCATACATCTGAGTAAATTCACCATATTTGGTCTGGTTAAATCCATTTTGGGCTGGTAACATTTTGAAGTTACCTGTATCTTTCGTCCCACACCTCTATGATGTAATTGAAATAGTGTTCATAGCTTTATCTTGAGAAAGAGCAGTGCACACTTCATTTTCACCCGTATTCAATGGTCATTTAATACAGTTTCAGGACCAAAGGACCCCTGCAACCACACACACACACACACACACACACACACACACACACACACACACTCTGGATCCGTCTATGGCAATTTCCGCTAATCCTCACCAAAGGATCCTCAGTTTTCTGCACTCACCACACACATACCACACACACCATTTTCCATGTCACAATATTAAGTTTTCTGCTGAAAATAGATTTTCCTGTTGCCATCCCTGATTATTAATGTTGGTTATGGTTCATGATACCATGCATTCAATATTCGGGTATTGTATTGCCACAGGCTGCTGTGATATGGCTGTATTGTTTGGGACATCGACTCATGATCTATGGAGATGTACATGTTTGATGACAAGGAGATTCTCATACCTTTGATTTGTTTGTTTTCTGGAACTTGATTTTTCAGCACAACTTATGATGTTGTTTATTGAGTCTGAGAATAGCATGTATCCATTGCTATTTGATACCTGCAACAAGAAGAAATCATCATCTGATGGGTATTATTACTACATTGTACTTCAGGGTACAATGTGTGAAGCTTATTTCTGGTGTGCCCTGATGTGATATTGCTGGAATATTACTAAAAGCGGCATAAAACCAATAGACAAAAGCAACACTGGCATTTTGTATGCATGATGATACTAAAAAAAATTTTGTTGCTATGGTTACAGGTGACATCCCGGCACAGAGAAGAGGCAAGTGAATATGAGGACACAGATGGTAGGTTGACCTCAGATTTTGTTTGGATAATGTTTATTTGAGGCCTAGAGGCCTGTGCTGCCACTCTGTGATGTACAGAGTTATCCCCCTTACAGGGAATGAAGAGTAAAGTAATTAATAGAGAGATTATTAAAGGGAGAAGGAAATGTATTGCTTTAAAATTGAAGAATAGAGTAATTAATTGAGAGATTATTAAAGGGAGAAGGAAATGTATTGCTTTAAAATGCTTGTGATACAAATCTTCATTGCAAATCATGGCAAATCCCAAGAAAGTCGAATACTTCACATCACAGAAAGGAGGACAGCAGGTACTCTTGGAGGGATACCGCTACAGACTCAACAACAGGCGACAGACGTGTGTACACTGGAAGTGTGTTCAAGGTGGCTGCTTTGGCAAGTGTACCCAGTTGGTCTTCTGTCTACTGCCGAATCGTCAACGCCGCACCTATGAACGCCTGCTACGTCTCCTGAACAACAAGATCCAGCAGACAACGGGATCGCCCCTTCAGCCTGATGTCATCCAGACGGATTTCGAAATCGCTGCCATCAACGCTGTTGAGACCGTCTTCCCCAACTGCGACGTCCGTGGATGCTATTTCCACTACAGCCAGGCTCTCTGGAGGAAAGTACAGAACCTCGGCTTCAGCGAAGCCTACCAGCAGGATCCTGAGGTCCACAGATGGGTCCGACGAGCAGCAGCACTCCCCCTCCTCCCAGTGGCCATGGTACAAAATGCCTGGATAGAGGTCATGGACGGCGCCCTGCCATTGGACAGAAGGATGAGTTCCAGGACTACATCACCAGCACCTGGGTAGACGACCATGCACGGTTCCGAGCCGGACTATGGAATCACCACGACACCAGCGCCCAGGGACGAACAATCATCTCGAGGGTTGGCATTCAGCATCTCAACAAGACCGCCCAGAGAGCCCACCCGAACATTTTCGCTCTTGTGAAGGTTCTGCAGAAGCTGGAGAAAGCCGAGAGAAATAAGCTGGTGCAGATGGCTCATGGTGCCCGCCCCCACACCGCCAGAAGGGACGTTCACAGAAATTGACCAGAGACTCACTCGCCTGAAGGCCCAGCTGACATGTGGTCACTGTAGGCATTAGTAGACTCCACCGGGATGCTGGGCTTGACAATATCTTAGATTCTTGCTGATCTCACCCTTTGTTTGTCAACACTGTAGCCCTCTGTTTGTCAGTGTCCAAATATAGCAATATCTTGGATCCATGTCACTTGTTTTTTTCATGGAAAATCAAAATGATGTGTGATACATTTGAAATAGTGTTCAAAGCACCCAAACTCACTCAAACGGTATTAGCTGTAAAACTGATGACATTCTGTATGACAAAATCAATATATATGTATCACTTTCAAACTATTTATTCATTTCTTGATTGATTGATAAGGTAATTTTCTGTTAATTAATTATGATAACATTTGTTTATGGTTCTGGGATGAATACATGATTCATCGAATGAAAGATTTATGCAAGTATATGCATTATTGATATGTGGTATCACTGGTAAACTTCAGATTTTTTCAGTGCTGTGAGTGAATTTCAGATATTCTGATTGCCAAGTTGCGCAAGGGGCAGGAGTTGAAGATTCGAGCATTTGCCAGGAAAGGTTTTGCCAAAGAACATGCCAAGTGGAATCCTACTGCAGGCGTAGCGTTTGAGTATGACCCTGACAATGTCATGAGACATACGCTGTATCCCAAACCCGAGGAATGGTAAGTCTCATGTTAGCTTTGTTTGAATTTATGAATAGGACCATTTGTATACTGAGGCACATTCACAGGAAATATGAGTGAAACATACAACTGGGTATGAAACATACACAATATTTGAATCATTGTCATTCTCCATTCTGGATAGCCAGATTATTTTTGTGTTTGAGTTACCAAAGAGTTCCCTTGATGTTTCTCCTTCAGAGAATTTCTCACATCTAAACAGTTATAAGATCTGAGTAAAAAATCTGATTTTAATATGACCAAAAATATATGTTTCAGTTAGGTTTTGGTCATAGGACATTCCTTAACATGTTTCTCTCACCAAACATTTGTGAAACCTCCTCATCTATAACCCCCATTTAGACAAATTGATTTAGAAAGCTGACATCTAAATGGCTAAAATATAACAAGCCTTCTCAGTTCAGGGTGTACCCAAATCAGGCTATGAATCTGTATTTGCCTGATTCCATGTTCAGTAGACTATAGGGTTATAATATGTACAATTATCAGCTGAGTTTACTGGACCAAACAGAATTTTCAGGCTAGTGGCTGAAGTCAAATACTGTTCTTTTGACTTTAGCAGTCAAAGTCCATATGATATAGCCTCCATTGGTGCGTTGGTCAGATCTTGACAGTAACATAGAGATCTGATATAAAAGGATTTTGTGTTGGGTATGATTAGATTGTTTTGAGAAAATGTTATTGTTCTTATCGTATAGGGTATTGAATTATTTTTGTTATTGGGTATATTGTATATGTTTCAGGTTCATTATTTTAAATGGATCCACACTTTAATAGCTGATGTTCACAAAATTCCTGTTGTCCAAAACTTTATAATTATTATTCTTCTGATCATACCTACAGGTGAAAGAGTCTTTACCTGAACATAGAATTGATTCATTCTTATCAATAGAATGATAATGCTTGCCATTCTCCCTCAAATCTTTGACCTCTACTTTTCTATGTGTCATACTGTTGACAATTTATTGTATGTTTCTTTCCAGGCCTAAAAGTGAATATTCAGAAATTGATGAAGATCAGAGTAAGTATAAATACACAGTGCCATTTAGAAAGTGGTCAGATGTAACATATCTTATAGTTGGCATAGCGCTTTCTCTGTAAACTACAGTTTCTAGTAATTGTTTTGGTGGAGTCCCATCTGGGATTCAAACCCACACTCTCAGTCAGGCACCTTGCAGCCAGCACACAAAGTCAGCTATCTAACCCACTCAGACACCATCGCTTATTGCATGGAAGTTTCATTTAGTCCTTGTAATGGTCCTATTCCATAAAACTAACCATATTTCCAAAACGCCCTGAATAATTGGAATGTCGTAAGAAAGACCAAATATCTTCAGCCAATCAGACACTGAGAGACACTGAGAGATAGATGTGTCTGTAAGGCATATATATTTCGTATCAACACATTGTCACATTTGTATTGATGACATGGTTTGAAATTTAATTATGATAACTTTTTAAAATTTAAGTTTTTCAAGTCTTGAATTGTATCTTTAGCCATATCTTCTGAGATACGTCCTCGGACCATGGAAGACCATGAGGTATAATAACGCTAAATTTAAACCATACAAAAATCAGGCTATGAATGAGAAACACATCCATGTAACTCTATAGCTGTCCAGAGGTTGGTCAAACAGACCTGTTCAGCCTAGTAATAAGTTTCAGTCACTGTCTATTCCCCTGCCTGGCGCTCGGCATTAATGGTTACATCAAGGACTGGTCGGCTCGGAGTCAGTATAATGTGTCTGAGTGGGGTATTCATGCTTCACTGCGGCATGGTATCTCAGTGGGCTAGCACTATAAAACCAGCTTCAGTCTGGGCTAGTACAAGCAGCCGCACTTACACATACACACGCATGCACGTCGTCATATGAGCGAAATATTCTCCAGCACGACGTTAAACCCAATTCCACCACCACCACCACTGTCTATTCATAGTGGGTAAGGCAGTATAAGATATATTTTGTCTGATTACAGCACAAGGCACATTTGATGTGAACGCAAAGCCAAACAAGTTTTACTTCAATGTTGAAGTGTGTGGCTCCCTCAAACCAGAAACTGTCATATTCTCTGCTCTTTCCATCATCAAGAAGAAGCTGAGTGACCTACAGACACAACTGAGTCATGAGATACAGAACGACGTCCTCACCATCAGCTAGTTCTGGTGGCAGACAATTTCTGCAACATCATCATCACCATAATTATCGTCATCATCGTTTTCAGCCTGTGATCATCAGAAGATCATATGAGAACTAGGTTCATTATGAAATGAAAATTTCTGATCATTCAAAACTTTGAATGTGTTATTTAGTCTCTGTTGCTATGGGCAGCCATTCAGTCAAAACATGGTCTTAAATACAGATAAACAATATACAAGAATAATCAAATGACATGAATATAGTATAAGATGTTTCTAATAAATACACTAAGAAAAATAAATATCAACAAGCAACTTCATGATACACTTACACATAAAATGATTATATGTATCAAGGAAGAGACATAAAAAAATATGACCTTCCTAGTGACCCATGAGAAACCCATAAGAATGTGATCTTCAGTGACCCATGCTTGTCGTAAGAGGCGACTAACGGGATGGTGTGGTCAGGCTCGCTGACTTGGTTGACACATGGCATGGTATCCCAATTGCATAGATCAATGCTCATGCTGTTGATCACTGAATTGTCTGATCTTCCGCCACATAGGTGGAATATTGCTGAGTGCAGCATAAAACTAAACTCACTCACTCACTCACTCCCCAGTATTCCTGGACAGGGTTTAATGAAAAAACAATTCTGTTATCACAATGGTACATCATGATATTCAGTTGAATAGAGATCAGGGTTGACCAGTTGTCATTCATGTCCACACCCAAATGTGACACATAAAAAGATTTGATGGCCTTTGTTTGAAAACAACAGATTTGGGCTGATTGTGTTCCTTGACAACACCCCCAACCCCTGCTTCACCTGCGTGGTAACTACAAGGACCTTTGCTACTTTGTGTTGCTCTCACAGAGTGATTCTTGCATTATTGGTTTCTGGTTGGCCTAGGTTCCATGTGATATTATAGCTGAGATATTGCTGACTGACATAAAACCTTATTTTTTCATTTCGATATAGAAAAGTTTATTTTCTAATATCTAATATTTAAAACCAGAGTTTCATTGTACATCCATGAAAACTGTTGAATTGTAAATTATTGGTTTGTGAACAGAATACAGATGTTAATAATTGAACCAATAAATCAGAAAAATATATTTTCATTCTGAAAGTTGTATGTAAATGTTCTGGTATATTTCTTGTGAACTGGCAGGTTACAATTTGTACAATAAAGTGTTTCACAGAAATGTTATACTTCTTTTATATATACACCAAAACAAGTGTCTTGGCACTATTAAAATTGTAGGGATTGGCACAGGGATTGTAGTGAACATAAATAGGTTCTAAGCAATTATACACCCCCATCAACACTGCTATTTGTGTTAAAATACGTTTCTATTATACTCTGGGAAAATCGTGACAGTCATACTGGAGGATGCTTTTAAAGATACCCTAGAGATGGGTGTTCAAGTTAGTGAAGAGTTGCTATATTGGAGTAGTGTACTTAAATGGCGAATGTGGTCATAGCCTTGAAGATATTTCAGGTAATCGGTACTGCATGCCGCCATATACTAATGAATACAGTCAGGCCCTAAGCCAGTGGCGTTGAGAGCATAAGACACTGGATGAATGGCTGGAGGTGAGTCAAGAATCACGCTGATGGTCATCCAGAAAGGTCTGGACATGTCTAGATGTGTCATGCTACCGTGGATCCATTGTGATATAATCGACAATTGGGTGTCTGTATGAAAGGCCCTGGATGTTGTCAGCGGGTCATTTGACAATGCTATCGATGCATGCTGGCGCGATATTGGTGCAGGTCTTTCTGTATGACGTTAAAGCTCATGAACACCTACATGTCATGTAATCAACTACGTCTTGCCGCTAAACATCACCTGCCATGCATTCTGGTTATTAACAACAGAACTGGTCTGGGAGATCGCCGTGACATTGGTCATTCGCTTTATAACTATTCCTATGGTATCAGATTTTGTCTGCAACATCTAGAATTGTAGACAAGGCATGATATAGGGGGAACAAGCAGCCTTAGCATTGTTATTCTATCATGATTGGCTCTCCATCGGCACCCATCCAGTCCTGACTTATAAAGTCATTTCAAACTGAAGGTGCCACGAGCTCTCTCCAAACAGAGAGTCTGTTATTCTGTATTCTGTTATGGAAGCACTGTATTAGAGAATACGTAAGGCAATTCTTTATCAAGTCTCTAAGAAGACAGCCTTATCAGATCGGCGGCACAAATGTCGGTGCTCTCTGACCTCTCCCCACTCACTCCACACTTGACTGGAGCAGAATCATCCGGTTGGCCTTTCCCGCGTCCACTGCTGAATATCAGACCATGGCCTAGATTTTCGAAGTTGTCTAAGCGGTAAGATAGTCGTGTCATACATTAACATTAACTTACGACTATCTTACCGCTAAGACAGCTTCTAAAATCTAGGCCCATGGCAAGAGGCACGTACGGTAGGGCATAGGCACAGTGTGCAAAATAGCAACTGGCCCGCTAGTCCGTGGCAAGTAAAACTCCAGTTGAGCCAGGAAATCTTCACAGTCACTGCCCCGACTGGCTGGTGAATTTTCATGTGGTCATTTATCAGCTGACTGATGAAAGCCGTGTCATGTCGACAATATCTTATTCTCATCTATTTTTGTAATCTTTTGCTTAGTTTCTACGTTCAAATTTTGGGCTAGTGAATTATTTAGTGGGCTAGTAACTTTCAGGCAGAGCGAGCCCGACTGGCTAGCACAATTTGGAAACTATTTCGCAAACTGTACGCAAAAGTGTGGACGCTCATGGCAGCCGTTAATGTCCAGTACAATCATTACCTCGCAGTGACGCAAGATCATCGTTACCACAGGAAAGTTTATCCTGCAAGTCCTCTCCAAGGCTACCGCTGCATGTTATAACTGCAAGCTCAAGTCATGTTAATCTGACGAACTACTTGTCTGAATTTTGTTACGTGTTCTTGTTTCAGACAGTACAATCTACCCCCTTTTGCATGTTATTAGCTATTAGTTTTGGAGTAGTGGTGCAGTGTAACCTTTATATAAATGGAAAAAGCCACCAAACTAGACGCCAGCTTACCTTTCCCGATGCGTTGCTTCGGCTATACTTATTGTTGTGACGTCACAGACATATGACGTCAACAGTGCCTTTCTCGTATGACTTCATGTTGCACTGTAATTCCACTTTCGTAACGTTTAGTAATATGTGCATATTTTCACATTTACAAACGACAGCCAAAGAAATATTACTGGCTATTGAATACTTAGTGTTTGTTGGAAAATTGTGCGTCCATATTTGACCCGTCGGAATATAAGACTCGGAATACTACTTGCGTTCAACTACTTCTAAGTGTCAGTTGTTACTATGTACGAAGAGTGATTTATCCTCGTCACAGCATGGAACCCGTAAAGGGTCACCTGTTCTGTGAACACACCCCACCTTCTACTTACATACGCATCATGTAACATAATGCGAGATGTTGTAAACTTTATTTCCTGTATGTAACGCTTCAAAATGTTAATAGAGATCTGACGCGTTTTATTTCTCTAAAAGATTATGCTTCTTTATGACGGTAATGCCAGACAAATGTAAGTACGAGGCGAACGTTGTTGGGTTAGTAGCTTCACTTCATCCTACGGTCAGTCGTGTTTCGTATTTCCTGTATTAATGTTATTATTTAATTTTTTTTCGGAATGGTGATTCTAAGAAAACACACATTTAAACACACAATAAGTTACATAACTTTTGCCCAATCCATTTCAACATTGAATAAAATATGTTCAAACAAACACATTTAATTTAAGTCGGGGTTGGGGTTAAGGGGAAATAGGGAATTTCTTTGATACGTGATAGGTTTCAGTCAGAAATATCAACTTATCGGCCTCCAAGAACATAAAGAAATTTTCGCCCGAGTAAGTGTGGTTTAACATCGCACTGAACAGTATTACAGTAGTGTAATGGCGTCACATACTGCAGTAAGCTGCATGTGGTAGAGAGACTTCATATCCAAATTGGGGCGGTGGGGTAGCCTAGTTGTTAAAGCGTTCGCTACTCACGCTCAAGACCCGGGTTCGATTCCCACATGGGTACAATGTGTGAAGCCCATTTCTGGTGTTCCCCGCCGTGATATTGCTGGAATATTGCTAAAAGCGGCGTAAAACTAAACTCACTCACACACTCATATCAAATACTTCTAGTAACTCTGTCTGTCAAAAAATACCCGCCGCTTAAACATACCACATAAAGCCGCTTTTTCTGTGAGTTTTAAGGTGACTCCTCCTCAAATCAAGAACTTGACTAGCATCCATATTGTGACAACATTGTTTAAGAATCCATTCCAATAAATAATGGAGATATTCGCCGCGCAAAAACGGTCGTCAACCAGTCTCAGCGAAGGTTTACGTGTACGAAGCAATGATAAGTTTATGCATCTTTACGGAAGCGTAGCCAAAGCTCCGCTTGTGTTTCTGGCCTATGGGCTAGAATAGTGACGGAATGGAAAAAATGTTTGTGTAATTACGCACGTTTCTTTTATTTTCCAGCATGAACTTTTGGGACAATGTGCCCTATTAATTATAGATATTGACAATTTTCCTACACCTAAGATAAAAACCCTGCTCACCTCTTGCGTGTTAAATCGTTCACTTCCTGCTATTAAACATTTCCTGCCGTTCACCGCTCCTACTGTTCGTTGAATGGAAAGTACTTTAATGTTAACGTAAACTGTGAGGAAAATATCACCAAACCGATATGAGTGAGTGAGTGAGTTGGGTTTTACGCCGCTTTTAGCAATATTCCTGCAATATCACGGCGGGGGACACCATAAATGGGCTTCACACCAAAGCGATATGAAATGTCGGTCATATTAGTGTGGTCTGTCACCATTTCTTAGATTGGTACTCTAAAATAATATTATGGGGTTCATCATTGTCTACAACAATGTTTCGTTTCGGTGGTAGGGAACGAACCCACTGGAATACTTAAATCTATATATATATATATATATATATATTTATTTATTTTTTTAATTACAAGGGTTGTTTTAATAGTAAGTGACATACTGGGAGTATTATGTATATGGAATGTTTGCAAATGGTGACCTTTGGTCCGAAATATGTGAACTTTTAAAATTGTCAAGTTTAGTGAAATATTGAAAATGTAGCATAATGCCATTATTGCCGGATATTTTCTCCTAGTGATAAAACTAGTGTTTTGCCTCAAATATTAAAATAAATGGAAAATGAATGGAAAATAAATACGTTGGTTGTTAAGAACAACACATTAGTATTTAATTATGATGTTTTATGATTTTGAAGTATGTATGATGTATCGTTGTAACACATAAATGAACTTAGTTGGATGAATGTAAACTAAGGCAGTCCTTTATAAAAATCAAACGACTCCAAACTTTCTTAACATTAGTTGTATGGGTGACATGATAGTGTATGACGTCACGATTTTGTGAGTAGTCAGCCCACCTACCCATGTTCCATGCAGCAATTAATACTGTGTGAAAAGCCATTGGTTACTAAAGAGATGATGTTTACACCCCGTTGAGTGTATTTTAACAAATTTAAGAGTCAATGGGAAGGTTAAAATTGAAACAAGGCAAAAAGGAAAGAAACATCGACACTGACCCGCATTTGTGCGTCAAATTAAATATTCTGACATTTTGGAATGTTCCTTGAAAACCCTGCCTACTCATCCTGTAACGTCAAGGCTAGGTCGGTGCTAGAGGTGGCTTTTGGTCAGTGTGGTCGCCGAGCATACAGATTAGCTGCCTGAAAACGATTTCTAATCTTCTGGTTAGTAATTGGAACTCCAGTAGCCTGACACAAGATACTGTTGATGCGACTGGCTCTTTGGCCTCGATTTCAAAATTCCACGCTTTTTGTTGCTGACCAAGGGCGCCCTGTTCAGGACCAATTATCATAAATTTGTGTCTGCAGAAATCTGACCCAAAGTCTGCAAATCGCAGACTGAGACGCATTGGACATATTTGCTATCTCTAGTTGCGTTCTACCTGCTTGAAGTATAGCAGTATATATACTATTCCCAAAAAGAAACGCATGGGCCAAAAATCTGTTGCGAAAATGTTGTTTTTTCAAACATATATAAACATTTATAAAGGACTGCCTTAGTTTACAAACATGTATAACTCATCCACAAATAGACTTTAGTACATGAATTTTTACACCAGTTTAGAAGAAGGAAATGTCTACACAACCAAGTGGATACTTTTAGATAACGGAGACGTTGAGTGTGATGGTGACGACGTAGCACGGCCCCGACGTCGGGTATCCTGGCTCTCAGTCCAATCTCTCTCAACCTGTTCCGTACAGTTTGACCGGACATCCTCCGAAGTTCAGGCACCCTGGCTGTTGTGCTCTCACCCGTGGCAGTACGAACACGCAAATGTAGTACCCGGATGTACCGATCTTGGGCTGCAGTGGTGACTCGAGCTCTGCCCGTACGAGGACGGTCATTTGTTACGAGCTGCAAGCCGTGGTATCGTGCTCAGACTAACATTCAGACGCCTGGCAACAGATGATTGGTAATCTCCAGCGTGCATTCTTTCAATGGCGATGTTCCGTGTCGCAGTGTCAAGACGTGGCGTAGTGATTTGAACTTGAAACTCCTTCAGAACGAATGTCAATTTCCGAAAGTAATCTGGATTTTATAGCCAGAGAGTGCATGGTCTTCGCTGCACAATTTCAACTGGAAGGTGATTTCGGTTGCCTTGTGGCGATGCCTTTTTAATCCTTGTAAGAAATCTCATCAAAATCAACATTATCAGGTAAAGTCGATTTTTTTACTTGTGCAAATGTGTAAAATCATGTTATAAACACTTTTGTTACATATTTTGACGATTGTTTGAACACAAAAGGTAATTGATAGATTTTTAAAATTACAAAACGCCTATGCGTTTCTTCTTTTTTTTAGATAGTATATATAACACTTAGGCGATCGTTAAGCTGTGGAAGACATGATCACAAATACTGCATTAGAGTAGAATTTAGCCTACCTGTTGCTGTGAATAAATAATATTACAGCCACGAATACCTATTTGACAACCTTTCCCGGAAGTGTAAAGATGAAAAATAACAAAAAAGTCTTACCAACATGCACTTAGGAATTACAGGCTTCTTTGGGTGTGTTAGGTCTTGGTTCCGAAATCGTTCTGTCATTGACAGCCATTTTTGACGACTGACGATTGTTTTTCCCGATCCCCTACTTGTTATGGGGAGTATATATGTGACGAGAGTCAGTAATAAATGGCGTGTCACCACGACACGGATACGTGTATTTGAGTATTACAGATTAAATAGAAGCCGCCCAACAACCCACCGCAACCACTCCATGATACATCCTTATCAACCCCATCCCCATCTCACATATACCCCATTCCATTTAATAAAAGACCTCTTAAAACGTGCCAGCCACAAAGATTACATGTCTAACTTACAATAAACGAGGCAGCACTTCTTACACCACATTGTATTATATTGACATTATCTTGCTATTACGGTGGGTCAGGGTGACCCATGCATTCACTGCATACTGAATCATGTTACGGTTTAGAAAATACTGAGATAAAAGGCTTGTGAGTCCCCTTTAAACCGGCTAACTAAAACACAAACACGTCTATAATATTCAATTGTATATTGATAAACTATGTTACATTGAACGACAGTACAAATTTCTAATACAATACTATTGGATCACAAATCTAAAATATTGGGTGATCACAAATCTAGAATATTAACTCGCCAAAACATTGATATTCCCAGTTAAAACAGATGTACTGATTGAAGATTGTTGACAGCTGTTGAAAGTTCAATGCAGACGAGAGGTCGGTCTTGAAACGTCAATGTTGGCAGACAGATGAGCATAAATCCAAAGTAGTAGTCCCCCCATACATCTCAGCAACAATCCCTTGTATACCTATTGTACAGTTTTAGACTTTTTTTAGCGTAAAGCCACGCCACACTACAATTATCTCACAGCTTACAGCATACTACCGAAGACCGGAAGCAAAACAAAGGGGAGGTAACTCCCGAGCCCGTTTTTAATAAGTGAAAATATACAGCCGCACTCAAATCCACACTCAGCGCTTAAACTTTTGTGACCCATAATAACTAAAAGTCAATTAAT